GAAGAAAGCCTGCTTCAAAGACCTGACCTACAGCGGAAGCTAACAATTCTGTTACTTTGACTGAAAAAGGGGCGTCCCCGCAGACACCACCTTGACGTCTTTGTACAGGTGCACCGGCTCGTAGTCGATGTTGTTCTTCAGGAAGTGCTCGTTCACGCAGGACAGGAGCGTCATCTCGGGCAGCGAGAAGATGTCCATGAACTGCTTCATGGTGTTGCCGTGAGAACTCTGCAGGGGGGCGGGGAGCGTCAGACCCGGGTCACCCCAGCAGAGCCCCACACTTCACTCCCACATTTCACTCCACATTTCACTCCCTCCCCACCACAAAAGAAAATTCTCACGATCAAATAGCAAAACTGCACCTTGTTTCTTATCACTCACAGCAGCACTGACTCCTGTGCCCTGGCTCATCCAAGGAAATGCCCGCCCCCCGAAAGTCCTGCCACCTCCCCCCTTTCACTCTCCTTTGCACCCTGTCCAACTTCCAGCTCACGCTCTCCCCTCCTAAGCGGAGGAAGGCCAGCACCTTCCTGTGTTCATGGGGACCCCAGGAAAGCCACTTACGAGCTGCAAAATGTGAGCACCGCCCCCCGCCCCCACCTAGGGCCTGACTAGGGCTTATAAGGGGCCTTTCCCTGAAAGCCTGTGAGTTACACTACGTTGCCCAGCTGGTGAGCACCTTCCATTTCATTTTAGCAGTGCAAACAAGAGAGAGCATCACATGGAGCAAGCAGAACTCCTGAGAGCAAAGAGGACTGCAGAAGGCAGAACAGCCAGAGCTCCCCAGGGGTCCCACAGGACTTGCATGCGGTGTCGGGCATCCTGGAGCCCTGTTTCAGGGGAGGCAATGGCTACACACTGACAGCCCCCGATATTCAGTCCAATATTCAGTGGGGGCACACCAGGCGGTGGTGGCAAGCAGGCACAGGGCAAGAGAAGTGTGAGCAGGAGAGCTAAGGAAGAGAATCATGACCAGCCCGAGGGGGACCCTTCACGCCCAGGCACCCTAAAGTCCGAGGTCTCTCCAAACCCAAAGTGCCCTGCCAATTCGCCATGACCAGAAAGTCTAGCTGCTCCAGGGCCTCGATCCACCAGGTCAAGGACAGAGAAGGAAGAAGACAGGCTGCTTAGACCCTACAGCGCTTCTCACTACCTTTCCGTAGAAGTCGCTCATCTGCTCCAGAGGCACGTGGGACCCCTCGTACATGTCGATGACTTCTTCATCGGGGACCACGGAGAGGCCTCTGGAAAAAGCACAGGGCTGCAGTTACGGAGCTGCAAGACACAGCGCCGACCCCCAGGCCTCTGCGAAGGGCCGGGGCTGTGTAGGGACATGTAAATGCTGGCACAGGGAGCGAGGCGTGCACAGGTGGGCGCTACAAGTCCGGGGAAGATGCTGAGGGGCTTCTGCGGAGTGAGGTCTGAGGGCCCTGCCATGGTGGGGGGACACAGCGCTCGCCTACCCCTGCCCACGAGCAGACAAGTTGACACAAGCTATGCAACCTCTATCGACTGGCATATTCTGGAGAGAGGTGGAAGTGCTCTGAAAAATCAGAATTTCCATGCCAACTTATGTGATGACCTCCCTTTTTTTGTAATATCAAAATATTCTAAGCAACCATCAGCTTGCAACCGGATTGCCTCAGCCTCATAAGGCGCTGCCTGGCTCAGGCGAGCAAGCGCTGCCCCAAGGCAGAACATTCCTCTAGAAAGCAAAAATTAATATTACAACTGGCTGATTAATAAAAGCAATTATAACACAATCAATACTGTAAAAGACAAGGCAGTATAGAACATGCTAGAAAATAATTAAAGTTCTTTTACTGCCGGGACGAGAATCCACATCTTAGCGCTCTACTCTCTTACGTAAGCTTTTATTGCTCAGTCTTTAAATGAGGAATCTTACTATCTCCCTTAGTGATTTATCTACCAGAAAAGTCCTCCACCCTAGTCCTTGACTTTACCCTCTAAGATGTCTCCAGTAAGAATGAAGATCATTAAGTAGCATTTAAGGTTTAAAGGGACTTTATTTTAGCCAATCATCACTGTAGTAAATATGACAATGTTAGCCTTAAATTTTATGAATTTATGTACCTCTCCTAACTTCAATAGATGTTATAATCGCAGCTGAAGGACAATACGACCCCAAACTATTCCTAGAAAAAAAGATGATTGTCATCTCTGAGCCCAGTTCATGTACTGACGTCCTCCCACTGCTTGCTCCTAATGTATAAAGTAAACCTCTGCTAAGAGCAGAGCAGGAAGACTTGCACCCAACTCTGACTCCTGTGTCTTCCTCATACCCGCTCCCTTTTTCTCCTTTTCCCCCTTTTCTAGGAATCTCTGCTCACCGACGCCGCTCCCACCTTGAGACCCTGCCTGTTCTGCCCCCCAATAATTAATCCGTGACCAGGGACAAAGAGTCTCCAACAACAAATGAGACAGAGACCGGTCCTGGGCCTTGCTCAAGGACCCCAAAGGGAAAAGGGACGGGGCGGGACTGGACCCCAGCCCTTGGGTTCCAGAGCCCCACTTCTTCACGGCCTCCTCCGCGAGGTGCTAGGCCTGCCTGTGACTTGCTCTGGGCTGGACTTAGGGTTTCTTGTTTAATGTTCTGTACACACTGGGGACAGAAAGGTTGGTCTGTCCCCACCATCCCCCCCCCCCCCGCCTGCAGACACTCTACCCCGAGGCTGTGGGTGCTAAGGAGGACACAGCCCAGTCGGTGAAGCCCAGGGTCTGGGAATGGCTCCCTGAGCGAACGGCCGTTTCCAAAAAGCCAAGGTAACACCTGCCACCTGCCTGCCTCCTGGGAGCAGCAGCAGATCTGCGAAGGAATCCAGCTCTTCCCCACAGAGACAAGTCGAATCTTGGCATCGGGGTGGTCTGGATCCCACACCTGCTCAGCCCCAGCGACAGGGGCAGGTGCTTTCAGCTGGGACCTAAGGGACTGTAGTTCCTCACCTGGCACCACCCACCCGTGCGCAATGAAAGAAAATGTCTGAGTGCTAGCGGTGGCCCCAGGAGCAGGAGCCCACAGACAGGTGGGGACACCAGGCTGTGCTCCAATGGGGGCTACACAACTCACTAGAGCTGGGCCACTGTCATGGATGGGTCACTTAGCACACCGAGGCACTGGGCCAATACTGTCATGCAAATGTCACCTATGTCTGATACGTTATGTTAATGAAAAAATATAATGTCAGCCTCTTTCCTGTGCTTCCCACCCTCTATTAATTTTTTAAGATCTCCCAGTGGGTTCCAGAATGTCCAGCCTGCCAGCTTGATGAGCTTGTTACAACTACTGGCCTTTGAAAACCAAAGAGGCCCAGGATTTGCCCTTATCTTTGCCCCAGAAATCAGATAAGGCTGGTACTGAGTCAGCTCCCCCTGCGCCCACCGTGACCTTGGCAAGCAGCGGCGCTGGCAGCCTTCAGGGGCACGTCCTCGGCTTCTACGCTCGGGCGGGAAAGAGAAGGAAAAGAACTCCAGCAGTTGGGTCATTTCTGCACCCCCATTCGCCCCTTCTGCCACACAAGCTGCACACTGAGAGCCCCAGTGCCAGAGTGAACCCAGCTCAGAAGCAGGAAATTGGTCTCTGCAGTGTCTGCGACCCTGGGGTGGGGTGCGGGGGGGGCAGCTCCCAGGGACACAGCCGCTCAGGGCACCGCCCCCGAGGCCGGGGCAGATGCTGGTACGTGGATGCCGCCTGACCGGCGTTGAAAACTACTTTACACGACCCAGAGGGGTGAGGAGCACCGTTTGGAGCAGGGCTGCGGGTTCCGACCCCAGTTCCTTTCCCTAGCAGGAGTATCACCCTGGTGAGCAATTTCACCTCTCTAGGTCTCAGCGCCACTTTCAAACAGAGACAAGACGATCATCGTGGGAACCTGCTGGCGGCACTGAGCGAACTTAGTCTGACTCTGCTCAGAAAGGTGCCCGGTAGGCGGCGAGGGCGTCTGAGTTGAGCCAGTAGAGTCACAGCCGGGACGACCTAGCGCTCACCAGGTACCCAGGAGGATGTTAACGCCTGGGCACAAGCTGGGCCTCCAGTGGAGAGTCACACCATCGTTTTCGGTGTTACAAAGATTCTTGTATTTCTAGTAAGTCTCGGGAGAGGGCTGATTTTCCAAACTTCCAAGGAGGGAATAAGAATCATCCCCTTCCTCACCACCCCAGCCTCCTCTGGGGACCCTGACTCAGCTGGCTGGTCACCCCCTCTGGAGGCCAGTCCTCCCCAGGGTCCTCCAGGGTGCACTCCCGTCATCCCCTCAGCTTCGGTCACTGCTGGCCCCACACAGCTTCCCCAGCACACTCCCCACTCCGGGGCCACCCCCGTGGACCAAGACCTCCGCTCTGAGCATAGTCGCGGGCCTCGATAAATCTCCACTGAGTAATTCAAATATATATTCTACAGAAGCATCTGCCAGTAGTATCGAAACCCAGAGTCACTTCGGGTAATTACAGCAGTCCCCCCCACCCCGTCACTGCCCTAAAGATCCACCTCCCCCTTCTAGGAAGTAATCCCTAGAACTAGTTTCTTGGTACTTTTCTAGAAACAGCCAATGTGTACATGAATATACATGTAACTCCACAGGTCATTTTTTTCACACATGGCAATGAAAACATACACACTTTCATACAGCCGGCTTCTGTCACTTAGCAGCCGCCTTGGAAATTACTATCAATACATTTCATGCTGCTCTATTCTTTATTGCTGCTGCTCAGTTATATTATACATATATATCTATGAGTATATATAAGTACATTGTCTTAATTCACACGTGGCCATTTTTAAGATACTTTACTAATATCTGCTTAAAATAGGTGTATATTCTTTATGTGAAGTATGCTGAAAAATAAATGAGTTAATAAATTAATTAACCTCCTCTTATGCTTACCTATAGACAGTTCCCAGCTGGATGTAATGAAAAGCATCAATCTTCATCAACACTGCCTTCAGAAACAAACACAGACACATGTGAATAACACCCAACAATCTGTGTATTTAACAGGCCCGTGGGTGCCAATCTAAACCCTCATGGCATGAGGCCACAGTGACAAAGGAGCACGGGTCTGCTCCTAAAAGTTTGCTTATTGACTCAAGCACCATGCAACCTGTAAGGAGATGACCTGTCTGCAGGAGAAAAAAACAGACATAACAACTAATTCCTCCCCAAAACATCAAAACATGCTGTGCTAGAAATAAAAAGCAAATCGCAAATGGCTAAGTGTGCTCGCACTTTTAATTACCTCGTCTCTTCAGGAGGACTTTATCCAAAGATGATTTGAGTGATTCAGTTCCGCACTCCCAAAGAGCACGATTTAAAAGCCAATTTACATGTTCAGCAAAGAAAAGCAGCAACGGTACATTTTATTCCCAAATACCCATAAACTGCAGGAAAACACGAGCATCGAACCTACCCGCTGCACATCGTAATGAAGTCCACGGATGGCGAAGTTGGGGTCATACTCATACTTCCTGATTTCCACGGGGTACTAGGAGGGGAGGAACCGGTTTTAGCCAACAAGGTCCTAAGTTCAACATGTACCTAGACTGGGTCCTGGAAAGGGCCAGATGGCTGCTGCGCCCTGGGGGGAGGGGGTCTGAAGGCCACCGCCGGGCCCCGGCTTCCACACCCGCATCCTGGCCGCAGAGCCCCTGCCCGGCCCTCCCTCCCTGCCCAAGCACATATGGGGACTCATGCCCCCCATTCTCTCTTCTCAATTCCCCCTCTGCCGAGATGCTCCAATTCCCAAGCCCTAGAGACACAGCTGCTTCCACCTTGAGGGCTGCAGGTTGCGGAGGAGGAGCTAGAACGTGCTCTGGACCAGAAGCCAGACGTGTTCCAAGAGGCTGTCGAACATGGGTGAAGTTCAGCGCCTCCACGCGGCAGCTCCCAGAGACCCAAGGTGCAGAGGACCCCTCCATGTCATCTCCATGGCTCTTCTCATCTGGACAGCAGGCTGCTGCTCACCCCATGGGCTGGGAGACCCCATTCGACCCTTTCCCAGTTACTGCACCAACGCTCTCACTCAGGACAGACACACCTTTGCAGGCAGCTCTGCTCCCCTCGTATTTCCAGGTCATTCAGTCACTGCTCAAGTGACATAACCCAGCCCGCTCCTTATCTTGTGCACCAGACCTGCAAGCCCCTGCCTCCCTCCCCGTCTCAGAACTAGGACAGCAGCCACACACACACACACACGTGGGCATACTGGGCACCGTGTCTGTGGCTAGTCTGCCCAATGTATGGATGGGTGGGATGGAACAGGCTGGCCTGGGCCACACAGCAGGGTACGGTGCAGCGGAGAGTCAGGCCTTCAGCCCTAGCCTGCCCTCCACCCCCAGAGCACAGACCTACAGGGACAATTTCTACTCCATAGTGTAGCAAGGCTGTGCCGTCAGATCTCCTGGCCATGCTGTGAAGTCACCCTGAGACAAGCGCCAGACCACAGGAGAGCCTGCTGCCCCACGGTCCTGGCTCTTCACGGGCCGGGGCGCACTGTGAAAACACGTGCCGACAGCACCGAGAGGCAGCAACTGTGTGCAAGTCTGCAATTCACGCTGCACGAAGCGCAGACGCCAGAGTGACACTTGGGCTCATTTACCTGGCAGCTGCCCATGGACCAAGAGATCACTCAAGTGCCTGCTCTGGGGCGTGTCCAAGAAGCCTGCAGTGTGCCCCAGACCCAGGCATGCACCCGCAGGCCCACACACAGCAGCTCAGCCCTGCAGGGAGGCCCTGGAGCTTCACGTGTGCCCGGAGCCTCTGCCAACTCGGGATGAACGAGGGGTGGCACCAGAGGAGGGGGCTTGGCCTGCACTGTGGCCAGTGTGGCACAGTGGGCTCGACAATTTCTGCAACTGTTATATTAACTCCTCACCACACCCACCTGGAGACGCAGGCCATTTTAATGTTGAATGATCTGAGGAGAAGCGTCAAGGAGTTTGCCCGGGCTCCAGGGAGACACAGAGGTGGGGCCAGGACTGGGACCCAGACGCTGGCAACACACCACATCCAGCCTTGCACTCTGCAATCAGCTCTGAACCCTGCCGTGCCTGGGCCGGCCCTCAGCACCTGCCACTCAGCAGGAAACCATGGAAACAAGCTGGGGGGCCAGTTCCCAGGGAGGGAACACGGTCCAGCACCATGCCGGTCTCAGCGGAGAGATGGTGAGGTGACTCCGCGCGAGCTTTGCTCTCCGCAAGGTCTGCAGAGCAGTCAGGCGGCTCCTGCCTCGCGCCAGCTCTATCTGGGCTCCCCCGCGGGTCACTGAGTCGCAGGGACACACGGCCCTGCACAGCTCGCGTCCCTGCCTGCCACGGCCTATGTTCTCCGGAAGCCAGCCCGACAGGCCCACGGCGCTTTCCGGGGTCGTAGAGGCTGGCGTGGACAGCCTGGAAAGCCGACAGAAGCAGCAGAGAGCTGCCTGAAGCCTCAACAGGGAAACATGGCGGTGGGGAACACCCGAGGGGCCAGGCGTGAAGTCCGGCCTGGGGGTCTAGGTGACCACAGCAAGGTCGCCTTTCTCTCGGTGAGCCTCGGTTTTCCCATCTCCAACACAACGATGACAAGAGTCCTATCCGATGAGAAAATGGAGAGGATGAAGTCAAAACCACACGCAGGGCCTTCAGGACCGGCTCCTGCACACCGCAACTATGCAGGAAAACGGAGCCACGTGGAGAGGCTGCGAGCTGGGGGTGGAGGGGGTGGAGGGAAGGGTAGGGGGGGAGGGTGGGTGTTAGGGGAGGGGTAGGGGACCAGCTTCGAGAGTCACTGTCCTGAGAGTCACTGTCCTGAGTCGCTGCTCTCCTGTGGGGCTCTAGGGTGTCGCTCGGCCTCCCTGGGCCTCTTCCTTTGTGTGGGAACATACATGGTTGGACTGGGGTGATCCCTCTGCCCCTTCACGGTGATTTCCCATACCACCAGCTACTCCCCCCCACCCCACCCCCACAAAGCATCTCTGGCCAAACTTCCCCCCATCGCCTATGGCTGTATATTCCGAACTCTTCATTGTTCAGAAACTTTCCATCAGCCTGAAAACTATGGCTCACCGAGGTTTCTGAAGGTGAAGGTGCCTGATGTATTTAAAAGCAGTAAGTCGTGCAAAAGACAAAAGACGTTTACTTGGCTTTTGTACTAAAACCCCTACCTGGGCCCCGTCTGGTTTCCTTCAGTACCTGGATTAGCTCCAGTTCCAGAAGGAGCAACCTAGAATTGTAGGTCAGTTTGTGCAAACAAAGTCTCCCCCTGAAAATGCTACAGAAAGGTCCAGGGCAGCTTCAAGCTGTTACTGAAACAGAGCAGAGCTGGGAGCCTCCTGCGGGCATGATTCCGCGACTCTGTGGCTCTGCCATGCACCCCCACCTGGCTAGTCAGAGTTCTGGGTGCAGCAGCAGCCTCTATATCACAACGGCCGTGAGCCTATAAATATATCTGTTTTCCAAAGGTCTTTAGTTAAGATATTTTAAGTAGCTAATTATGAGTCTATTTAAAGGCAGGGCAGAAGGGCATAAAAACAAAGCTTTCCGGTTCGCCAACACCCACACAAAACGTGACGTGGGGGGGTTAAAGAACCTGCATTCACGTGGTGATGTCACACCAAGCACAACACCCCCTTAACTGGAGCATTCAACAACGGCATCGAGTGTGTGCTGACTTCGCACCCTGGCCAAGGTCTGGGAATACAGCCGTGAACAAAACTGGTGCAGTCTCTGTCCCTGACAAGCTTCCATTCTCCTCTGGGAGGCAGACCAGAGACAAGTAACCCGGCACGGAGCTCAAAGACAAAAACAAATGCCATGAAGAGAATGTGGGACCAGGGCTCGGAGCCCTGGCAAGCGGGGGGCGGCAGCACGTGCGAAGGCCCAGAGGCAGGAGGGTAACCACGGCTCCGGAGGCAGCAAGGAGGCTGGTGCAGCGGGAGCAGAGTGAGGACAGGTGGAGCGGGCGAGGGAGCTGAGCTCTTGGGCGACAGAAGCAATGAAGACACAGACCCAGTTACAGCCCTATATTTTTGTATTTTCACATTTGTAAAAGCTTTTTCTTGCAAAAAGCAGAAAGCGAGAAGGTAATTTACAGGGGTTGGAAGTTTTACATTTGCTCTTGGGAAGATGCTAAATTGCAAACTTACTGGTTCGATTACTGTGCATCTCAAAAGCAGAAGGCGGGCCCTCCCTGGTGGCGCAGCGGGATAAAGCACAGCACTAAGAAGCTTAAGCCACTTCCACATGAGTTCGATTCCCGCCTGCCCCGGAGGTGGAGGTGATCCACATGGCGCAGCAGACCTCTCCTGACAGGCCCGCTGCTCCCCTCAGCAGTGGACTTCATCATTCTGCCTGTTCTGCACCCCGCTCTGTCTGTGGTGAATCCTCTCACCCTCCGCATCTCTGGCCTGTACCCCAGGACTGTATGAGTAAATAAATAAATCTTTAAAAAAAAAAAAAAGCAGATGGCTTTCCATCCCTACAAGTACATTTAGCAGGAAGAACGGCAGCAAACTCAGTGCATGTTTGAAGAACTATTTTGTTTAATCAGAGCAGGAGAAAAATCTGCATAAGCATAATTGATTCTATTAATACGCCAGAGATAATTAGTTCTATGACTTCTTTTCTTTTATCAAAGCAACAAACAGACATAATGGGAATGAGGTTCCAACCATCTTAAATTTAGATGCTTTTCCAATCATGACAGCACTTTTCTTCCATCTAGTTCATCTCTCTTTGCCCTGAAATTTCATAAATTATTGATCTTCATAAATGTCTTGCCTTCTTGTATATTTCATTTTCATCTGAATAAGAGGGAGAAGAGAATGTGTTCATCCCACAAGGAGTCAGGAGGGAAAAAATTGTGACAAGAATTGGAAAAGGAGGGACCTGAATCCGCCTGATGGCCCCGCCTCCCGATGGCCCCGCCTCCCGATGGCCCCGCCTCCCGATGGCCCTATTCTTGCTGGTCCAGTTGGCTTAGGCTCCTCACTGATCTCTGAGCTGCCACTTCCTTGGCTGTACAGACAGGAACTGGGCAGAAAGTCATACTCACAAAGGCTGGCGTCTGTTGTGTGCTTTCTGTGTGCCAGGCTCTTTATATCAATTAATACTTTTATCTGTGCCCATTACACAGAGGCAGAAACTGAGACCCAGAGAGAAAGGAGATGAGCTGCTTAGGCCAACCTAAGAAATAAATGGTGAAAATCAGGTTTTGATTCCCCAGGGTCTGACTCTGGACTCTGCTTTTGGCACTGCCAGCCCATCAGAAGGCTGCTGTTAGAATCAACTTCATTTAATAAGTGTTATCATTTAATAAGAGTCACAGAAAATGCTGCACACACCTGGGAGTAGAGGGCCAGCACTAAAGCAACACCTCTTCAGCGCAAGCTCACAGGGGTGCAAGAGAAAAGGTGCGGGCTGGCAGGAAGGACAGGAAGGGCAGTACCACCAGCTCTTACTCTGTTTCAATCCTCAAAGTAAAGGGAAAGGACCAGGGGTTAGATGAAGAGAAAAGTCTCCTGAGCAAACAGAGAAATGCTGCAGAGTGGCAAGTGACTGGACAGTTTTTATGTCTCGTGAGGTGACCATTAATCAAAGAAAGCTGTCAGGAAGGGCAGGTGATTCTTGGCAAATGCCATTTTGAACAAAGACAAGGTGCTCGTTAAACTCACTGATAACCACAAGCAGGGGGAACTAAAATGTGCTGGAACAAAGCGTCGGGATCCAAACCAATGTAAACTGTGGCAGCATTAATAAGAGTATGGTATCCAGAACTGGGGAGGTGATGGTCTCCCTCTACTCCACACTGCAGTAGTATCAAACCTCACCTACAGGAGTAGTATCAGTTCAGATACGTACATGTGAGAAGGAAACAACTAGAACACAGTCAGAGGAAGGGGGTTAAGATGATGAGAAAACTAGAAATGAGAATGGCTAAAAGACAGGGAATGATCAGCCTGGGAAAAACAGAGGTCTATATAACACCCAGCCCATTGCTCATAGGATAAAACACTAGCTTTCAGGATCTGGGCTTCTGGGTTACTCACACTCACCCATTCAACCCACCCCAGCCCTTCTGGAAACTCCTTCCCGCCAGTGAAATACCACCTAGTTTGTTGTTTCCCCAACTCCCTCAGACAGAGGTTGTTCCAACCATCCCCGACACATATCCAGCACTCCATTCAGGTCTGGAGAGGCCTCCTCCAGGGCACATAGTTCTTCAACGGCAGGGCTGTGTCCTAAACACATTCACCCCCTGCCTGTGACACAGAAGAGGGAACACACAAAAGGCTAAGGGACCGGTGAAAAGAAGACAAGAAACCAGAAGGCACAATTGTTCCTCTAAGGAAGAAGTTCCCAGAAGTCAGAACTGTGCCCTTGAGTGAGGGGCTTAGGGACCCCTTATGAGCTGCATTCCCTGGGGCACTGCAGGGGCTCCCAAGGGCCCAGACCAGACCACCTCATCCTTCTCCTCCAGGCTCCTTTAACGTCTGGATGAGGAAAGAGCTACCCAGAGAGATGAGCATTCCTTGTTGTATAGGCTTTCAGTAGTTCTACCAGCTGAGGCTCTGCTAAAGGGTAACCTGGGACAGTCTTTTGTTAAGGTGAGCAAGTTAAAGGCTTTCATTTGTAAAACAGTGTCTTCTGGGCACAGTTTCAAGTCTGCATGCAGGTAAATAAGCTCTGGAACTCTACCACAGAGCACAGAGCCTTCAGCTGACCATATCGTGTGGCACACTCAGAATCTGCCGATCAGACCCATCTCATGTTAAGTGTCCTTACCACACACACACCAGTAATAACAACAAAAGGAGCAGGAGGAAATTTTGGGAGGTGATGGATAGTGTATGACCTTGGTCATGGTTTCACAGACGTATTCTTATCCCCAAACTCAATGAAACACATACATTAATACACATAGCACACGCATGCTAATCAGACCTCAGTGAGGTCCGGTTTTTTTATTTCCTTAAAAAGCCATCTTCTAGGTAGAGTCATCAGAAGTAGAATAAAGTCCACACATCCATCTGCCAGCAACTGACTAAAATGACACTTTATGTACCAGGCACCAGGCCAGGTTCCAAGCTGTTCACAAATGTCGAAGGGGGCGGGAGGAGGACAGATGTCCCAGTGATCTTACCCTGTGTTCATTGATGAGAAGGTCGCGGGCAGCATTAAATATCAGGGTGTGGAGGTGCTTGGAGTAAAACACCAAGGTGTAGTCATAATCAAAGCCGTAGATTTCAATATCCGACAGGCTCATTTCATTGTTTGAGAAAATAGCATCTGGATTCAACAAGTTGCTCATGATTGAAGGCACCAGTTCTGGAGGAAGAGGGAAATGAAAGAAATGCATTACACCAGACAACTAATAGGGGTGAGGATGACCACTGAACACAAGGAGGCGACCAAAGGCCAAGAGTGCTTTGTTCTACCTTAAAAACATTACACTGAGTGGAAAAAGCACTCACCAAAGGCAAAGGCATGTGGCTACAACAGAGAGACCACAGAGACAGAAAGGAGAGGGGGGGACGGTCTAGGGTGGGGAGCTGCTGATCCCTCTTGGGGTCACAGAAATGTCCTGAGTTGATTATGGGCTGGTGTACAGCTGTTGTGGACAGTCTACTAGAGGGTGGATTGTAGGTATATAAATAATATCTAAAACTGTTACTAATAAGGACTATTTGCTTCAACACCACAAAGAGAACTGTCTTTTGTTTTTTGTTTTTTGTTTTTTAAACACAAGCCAGCTCTGGATCTTCGAAGATGAACATATAAGCAATTAAATATAAAAAGAACACGTCATCTACCAGAAAGAGAACTGTTCACAGTTTATTTGCTGCCAAGATTCTATGTATATGTCTTACATACATAAGACATATACTGATACTTATGAAATGTATCAGTATATGCTATGGGTGAAGCTCTCTAAATTTAATATTCTATAGTGATTGTAATCTCCCATGGATAGACTTTCTGAGAATATATCTTATGACATAGATTACATTACATACGAAATCATTACATTTTATCACACTGGCATGTGATAATCAACCTTCAACTGTTACTGCTTTTTCCTCTTTTTTTTTTTTATTTTACAAAAGTTTATTTTTACATCATTTTGTACATTTTTTTTTTCCATCTCAATTGTAATCCCCGTGGGTTTCCCATCACCAAGTCACCCATGTGCCATCACCATAATCCCATGCATTTCCCTCCCTACCCCCCGTTTTTAATCCCATTCCCCACTCCACCCCCGTAAAATGTCTCTGGCATATGGTTGTTCATTATTTTTGTTATTTTCTCGCCTAGTCCATTATACTCCTGCTGTGAGTGAAACCATCCGGTATTTTTCTTTCTCTTTCTGGCTTATCTCACTAAGCATGATCTTTTCCAGCTCCATCCAAGTTGCTGCAAAAGACATGTGTTTCTTTTTTGGTTGCTGAGTAATATTCCATTGTATATATGTACCACTTCTTTTTTATCCAGTCATCTACTTTTGGGCATTTGGGCTGCTTCCATGTTTTTCCAATTGTAAATAAAGCAGCAATAAACATGGGGGTACAGGTATCTTTTTCAATCAGTGTTTTTGTGTCTTTTGGGTAGATACCTAGGAGTGGGATTGCTGGGTCGTAGGGAAGCTCCATGTTTAGCAGTTTGAGGAACTTCCAAACAGTTTTCCATAGTGGTTGTACTAGTTTGCATTCCCACCCAGCAGTGCAGGAGAGTTCCTTTTTCTCCACATCCTCGCCAACATTTGTTGTTGCTAGTTGTTTGAAGATGTGCCATTCTCACTGGGGTGAGGTGGTATCTCATTGTGGTTTTAATTTGCATCTCCCTTATTACGATTGCTTTTTCCTCTTTTAAATAAAAAATAACACTGCAATGAACATCCTCCTAAGATAATGTTAATCTTTGCCCTTCAGATAGTTTGTCAGAAATGTCATTAACCCCTAGAATACCATCAGAGTCCTTAGCACTCAGTGCTAGTTTGGAGTTTCTTAGTTGGCAGTTCTATTTGTAAGCATTACAATTTCATAACTGCTATCCTTTCTTGGAGCTTTTTAAAAACTCACTCTACCTTATAAATACCCATCAGTCCACTGGCCCCTTTTAAAAATCAAGAGCACAATGTTAGTAGTTCTATGTTTCCAATATCTTAAAACATTTTGCTATTTTATCCTTTTGGGGAATTATTCCATCATGATCCATCAATTATCCCCCGTGATTTTTTTAGAAAGGCTCAATTTAGAGAGTAGGAATAGGACAGATCACCTAAGATGGCCCCATTGTGAAGTAAAGCATCAATATAACATCATCCTCCAGAGTTTTTCATTGCACTGCTCAGAGTATTACATCATTTTCAAGAAGGAATGAAAAGAAATCTAAAGAGTTCTTCACAGTCCTTTGCTTTCACTTTCATGGAATACAGCCATAGATTCATCATTTTTTCATGTTCTATCTATAATGTCAAAAGAATAAAACCAGCAGAGGAAGACAGTTCACAAGTATCAGTGAGTCAGAAGACGAATGCTGAGGGTGGATCGCAGCTCTCCGGAGTCTAAGAATGACAGAGAAGTAGGTCACGTAAGTGAGATCTCAGATAACATGTCTTCAGTGACCGTATTCTAGGTGAGACTGAGGATCCAAACAGAAGAAAGAAATTGAGGATGAAAAACTGAACAATACATATCTGGAGACAAAAAGGATAATGTGCTATTCTCCTCCACTTAGTGTGCTCACAGGGATCTTTAACTAGGAAGAACCTCGTTGGGCAATTACTTTGTGACAAGAACACAGACTGCCCTACTTTGTGAAGAGATCTCCAGGTGACAGTATGACTTCATCATCTACGGTGCACCAAAACCTCCGTGAAACAGCACACAAGTAGACACATGCTGCTGACAGGACTTTCTTGACTCAGTGATCAAGGATTGACTCCATTTTATTTAAAAAAAAAAAAAGCATCTTTCTCAAATCCTTGTCGAGGCTCATGATCATGGGGAAGGGAGTTGAGTGCAAGAGTCTGGATTCAGGTTGCTGGGTTCAGCAAAACCTTGCACCAAAACCTCCATGAAACAGCACACAAGTAGAAACATGCTGCTGACAGGACTTTCCGCAGACAGGTGCAAAACCCCAACACGAGTATGCACAAATCAAGCTGACCGCATCCTACTACCAAAACCCACACGGTTGCATTTCAGCTGCTTTCCATACACCCAGGACCACTCCTGGCTTCATTGTAACTACCATTTCCTAAGCACTTGCCATGGCCTACACGTTGTCATAAGCTATACTACCATGAAATGCTTACAACAACCTTAGGGTGTCTTGTGTCCCCATGTTATACATGAGTTCGCCTGAGGCATGAGGACAGAATTTGCTGGTGTCACACAGCCACTACTGAGCAGGGCTTGGAATTGAACCCAATAGCCTGAATCCAGACTCTTGCACTCAACTACCTTCCCTATGATCATCGGCCTCAACAAGGATTTGAGAAAGATGCCTTTTTTTTTTTAATAAAATGGAGTCAATCCTTGATCACTGAGTCACCACTGCTTCCCCGTCCTTTATGCCCACTTCTTTTTTTAGCAGCAATGGCCCAGTATCCACTTCCACTCTAAGGGGCCTCCTGATATACTCGAAAGATGAAGCTGCTCTTGCAGGTGACCACTTCAATCAGGGGACGGTGCCAGCGACAATAACATCTTCTGAGCTTGGAACTTGGAAGCTTTGAGAACCTAACCGGAGCTAGAGAAAAAGCCTGTCTCCAGAAAAACACATGCAGATTTTGCCAAAACTTTCAGAGACTTGACTCGAAGCCCCTCGTGGTCTTGAGTCTTGGCCACATTAGGCCACCTGAAAGCCAGCCCTGCCACCTCGCAGACTCTCCAGGCCAATGGAGGCCAGCCCCCGGATGCCCCTCTCTCCCACTGACGACCTGAATGTGGCCCTGAATGTGGTCGAATGCGCAGACCACCTAATCAGTCAACACACACCAATAATTCTTTTTCTTTAAAAGATTCTTTTGTCAAAACGAATGAGACAAAACCTGAGTTTGCTGTTTGGTTCCTTTGGTAAATAAGACTGAAACCAGGTCAGGGAAGCAGCAGGCTGCAGGTGGACCGTCCACAAGAATCGTGCAGAGCTGCCAGGCATGCAGGCCGGGCATGCAGGGCCAGCCGGCTCCTCGCCTCCTCACCCAGGGCCCTGCTATTTTCTGAACATGACCGCCCTGGCCACGTAAGAGAAGGGAAGTGGGATCCCTGACCGGGCGACCGAAAGCCAAAAGCTCCACTTTCCCAAATGACCTTTCCAAGGGAGTCCTAAGGGCCTGTCTCAGGAAGCTTATATTTAGACACACTACCGGTCTAAAGCCTCCCTCCCTTTCCACCACATGCGAAGCAGCCACGGAACCCCCAGGGAACACCGGAGAGATGGAGAGTCACGCCACGGCCAGCCCATCTCTGGGGGGGCGGCCAGCTGCACTCACGGCAGGTGCGCCCGCTCATCCGGCTCAGCTGGGCTGCCGGAGTTTGCCCACCCTCGCTCTAAACACCAGTGATGGCAAAAATTCAAAAGGTTCAGACACCCTGAAAGGGTGCAAAGAACAAACACGAGTAATCAGAAGGCAAGAGAAGGCCCTGCTCTGACAGGGAGAAGCCTCCTGCCTGTCTACACTGAGACCGAATGTAACAGCGGCTCTGGACGAGTCGCTCAGTGCCGGGCAGGCACAGGAGAGGGACCCAGTTGAGAAAGTTAAGCTCCTTCTGGCGTGGTACGTGACGACAGAAGGCTACACAATCGCACACAGACGTGGAGACCGCGCTGGGGCCCAAGGTGGGTCTGAGCACGCAGGGCCCGGGGGGTGGCTGGACCACCCCCTGGAGAGCTGGGCATCGTGCTGATCGACCCACGGGGAGAATTTGGGATGCGGGGGCTGTTTGTTTACATTGCGGCGGAATATGCAGAGCACGAAATGGATCGTCTAAACCATTCTAAGCTGGTGAAGTTCATGCACAGGGTCCGGCAACCATCCCTGCCAGGCTTCTCCGTGACTCCTCCAGACTGGTGCCCATGAGCCTAACTCCACAGCTGCCCCTTCACCCCCAGGCCCTGGCGACCTTCAGCTTCCCGACCCTGTGAGCCTGGCTGCTCTGGGTTCTGCATCTAAAGGGAATCACGTCTTTTTGTGACAGGTTTATATTCCATGCGGCGCAACGGTCTCAAAATTCATCATGTTACAGCGTGTGTCAGGACTCCCTCCCTCTGACCCTCTCTGAAGCTGGATGATATCCCATCCCGTGTCTGCCACGTTCTGTGGC